GCCCCCCAAATATCGCCGGTTGTCACTGCTAGTCATGCCACCAGGGCCTCACCAAGGCCTTTGGTTTGTACAAACTACAAGACTGCCTGTGGCTTCAGTATCCACTCCGTGATTTATGAAACGTCCAACTCCCAAGCCAGGACCTGGCACCTGGGACTGACTAGACGGGAGGAGTGCTGCTTTCACATTGGATTCAGACATTACGTTACCAAAACCGTTTTTCGTGTCGAATCACCCGTGGTAGATACTAACACCAGATAAGTAGCCAATAATCAACGAGCATGTCCAAAAACAAAAACCAGCAGGCCCAAAGTTCTTACAACCTTAGGGACGATTGTCTTTATTTCCTCAGTGATTTTGTGGGCCCGGTTTTTTGTCCTAACGTTGGCGGTCCTCCGGAGCCCTGGATAGGGTTGGCCTAGGCCCCTGGTCTTTTGGTACGTACTCGGTCCGGTCCTTTGGTCCCTGGTCCCATGGTCCTTGCCCGACAGCTTGCGGCAAAACGCCGCCTTGCAAATTACAATTCCCCAATAGCTTGCGGTTCCTGGTCCCCTGGCCCTTGCGTCCCTTGGTTCTTGATGCAACGAAGACTATCGACAAGTTGACCTGACCAGGCCCCTATGTTACTGTTGGTGTTTGGGGTGTAGAAAGCATGCCATCTTGAATAGCCTAAATATCATTTGGGCAGCTGCGTTGTCGCGTGCCACTTATATCTTATAACATCTTGTATCAACTTATATCTTGTAACCTTTGAATACAGTCTTCTCGCCCATGTCGCCTTTGGGCAATATGTATTCGAGACCTTGTGGTCGCCTTAACAAAGGCACGGAAACCCCTGCTCTTAGACCTGAGCGTCTCAGACCCTGAAACACCAGTGTGAGACTTGTTAAGTCTTGACAGCCTTACACGTTTAGGTTTTTGGCACAAACCGTGGCGTCGCGGACTTCATGCTCATGACATGGTGCTCTGGCACTGCCGCATGTGATGCGCATGACTGCAGTGTCGCCCTGATTGCACAAGTTCCTTAGATTCTTGCGTTCGTGATGCTATCTTCCCTGCACTGTGCCACTGCTGCGGCACATGTTGCCGACACTCTGCATGCTGTCGCCCGTGGGTGTGCTCCTCTGCTTTCTGAGCCTGTGTGCGCTGCTCCTGTGAAGAACAACTCGGTGTACCCTTCTGATTTTGTTTGTGTTCCCCAACAGCTTGGCGCAAAGCAGGACCCGGAAAATTGGAATTCCCCAATAATTTGAGGCAGGGTCAAACACTACTCGACAAGAAACAAGAGCCTCCACATCGCAATTTTCCAACGGCTTGCTTGAAAACAGCAGAACCCTGACAAGTGTAATTCCCAAATAGCTTGACGCAAAGCAAGGCCCCGCAAATTGTAATTCCCCAATAGATTGAAACAAGACAGGAGCCTCAAAATTGAAGTCTTCCCCAACAGCTTGAGGCCAAACATCAGCAAATGCTGCAATTTACAGTTTTTGACAGAAGACCAGAGCTTCGAAATTGCAATCCCCGAATAGCTTTCGGCAATACGCCACCCTGCAAAGTGCAATTTCCCAAAAGCTTGCGGCAACGTGCCACCCTGCAAATTGCGATTCTCCAAGCGCTTGTGGCAAGACGCCACCCTCCAAATCGCAATTCCCCAATAGCTTGCGGCAAAGCGCCACCCTGCAAATTGCAATTCCCCAATCGCTTGCGGCAAGACAATTCCCCAATAGCTTGCGGCAAAGTGCCACCCTGCAGATTGCAATTCCCCAATCGCTTGCGGCAAGACGCCGCCCTCCAAATTGCAATTCCCTAATAGCTTGCGGCAAAGCGCCACCCTGCAAATTGCAATTCCCCAATAGATTGCGGCAGAACGTCACCTTGCAAATTGCAATTCCCGAGTAGCTTACAACAGAACGTGCAAAACAGTAGCAAATGCTGCAACGTACAGTATTTGTAACCCAGGCAAGAGCAAACGTCAGCAAACGAGACCGAGGACCGCCAGCGTTAGGAAAAGAACTACTTCCGCCGCGACGTTGTTACAGCTGCATGCCCGATGCCGTTTCAAGTCAGGAGCAATGCACTTTGACCGCACGATGGCACTTGGACAGTTGATTTCAAAAGTTTCCGATCAGGTGCCCGACATATGACGTTGCAGGACGGAGATGGGCTGGTAGCGAAGACAAACATGTCAGAGATACTTTTGCGCAAGTCTCAGCTTTCTTTCAGGAGAAACAAGCCTTGCAAAGACATGTTCTGGCATTCGCCTGAGAAGCAATCCAAACGAAATGTCATGCAGTAGTCCTGGCATCGACACTGCAGGCGGCTTCAAGAAAAGCATCTGCGGCCAGTCGGGAGCTCTATGGCTGTCCGTGCAATGACACAGACATTGCTGGTCCAATTCAGCACTACTGGCTACTGGCATGGCGTGTTTGCTTTGATTGGAGGTATCAGCTTGATAGTGTGAAGGTGCGCCAAGTTCACATTGTTAGCTGAACTCACAAATGTCCGCTTGATTTGGCGAAAACACGCCGCTTAGTATGCTGCCGCGTTGTGGAAGCCCCCCCTATGGCTATGGGTGTAGGTTTATGTATGTGCAGGCAGGTGTCGGGGTAGGTGTATGTGTATGTGAGTGTATAGTATACGTTTATGGCGTACATGTGCATGTAAAGGTAAGTATGTGTCTTGTAATGTGTTCATGCTTATGTATATATGTGCATGCAAAGGTTCATGTATCTGTGTATCAGTGTATCTATTGTATATGTAACATGTGCATGTATACGAGTATGCATGTGCCTATGTGTGTGTATATGTCTGTGTGTTTGTGTTTGAGTCTACGTCGGAGTCGATGGTTATTTGCATGTGTATGTCTCCGTATCTGTATAGTCTGTGTTCATGGCCCTGCGTATGTGTGTGTATATGTATATGTATATCTGTGAGTGTATGTGTTCGTGTATATGTAAGACTATACGTACATGAATATGTGTGTGAGCATACGTCTCAGTGTGTCTCTGTGTTGTTGTGTATGTATCTTCACATGTACGTGCATATGTATGTGTATATGTATGTGTTGCGTAATGCGTACGTCTGTTCGTGCATGTAGCTGTAAATGTTGATTTACACATGCAGTGGCATGCATTTGCAGATGTATCGGTGGTGCATGTGTACATGAATGGGTGCAGGTACTTGTAATATACATGTGTGTGTGTGTTCATGTATATGCGTCCATACCTGTACCTGTTCCTGTACAGTATACATATGCATCAGCATATGTATGCACATGTAAATGTATGTGTACATGTCTATGCGTGTGTATATGTGTGTGTATACATATAAAAGATGTGTGTGTCTGTGTGTCTGTTTGTTTTGCTCGTGTCCGTCCATGTGTATATGTGTATCCGTATGTGTCTCGTGCATTTCTGTTTATGTGCAAGTACTGCATATGTATGTATGTACGCATATGTACGTATACGTACAGGTGTGTGTACATGTATGCGTATCTGCATGGGTAAAGGGGTGCATGGGTGCATGGGTGTATGTATGTATGTATGTATGTGTGTTTAATATATGTGCATTCATGCATGCATGTTTGTGCAATAAGTGTACGTGTGTGCATGTACGTGTGTGCAGGTACGTATGTATGCATGTATGTAGGTCTGTTTGTATGTATGTATCTTTGAATGCCTACTTATACAGAGGTTGAATCGCATCGAAAATGTACGGATGCCATCGTCCTACAAGTAGCTGTGTTGCTTCCCAGGTCCCATGCACGTGTGGGATCAACTAAGCAGCCCCCCCAGACCCAGACAAGATCAGACAAGCATGCAAAACTGGCTTTCGGTCTGTTGGTAGTGCAACTGCATCGACGCGCGGAGTTGGCGGACCGGGCGCATGGACGGGTGTGGTTGTGTAGATGATGCGAGACTCGCGGACCACGACGCAATAGTGCCTCCACCTGTCAGCCAAGTTTCCGTGGGTGATACAAGTAGCTAGGACAATGTTTGTGTCATGGATCTTGTCTTTCAGAGGCCTGACCTGCAGGGCGACGACTTCTGCGCCTGTGCAAGGCACAGCTATGCAAAGCTCAGATATGCTTGTTGCTTGTACATGCCTGTACATTCGCGAAGGCTGCATCAGGGAAGTTCATACACGTCTGTCGAACCGAGGCGGATCAGTCGCTGCATCACCGCGGTCCCCGGTGCGTGCTGCGTCCCCGCTCTCGAGGTTTGGTAATTCTGTGTTTGCGGAGGTTCCGGGGAGGAGCTGAGACCTCCAAGTGCCTGGAGCCAGGACGGTGAATGGCGCCCACTTCATCGCCTTTGGCCGGGAGGCGCAAGCGTATGCAAGGGTGTCAGCGCCTTGAGCCAGCTTTAAAGCCCCATCCAGCGATTACGAGCCCGTTTAAAGGCCACGAAGGCGCGGCGTACTATCAGAAACTGTACATCAGTTGCCTATAAGTATCTCTTCGTATACGCAGTGATATGCATTGATTCAATACAGCAGAAACGATCGTGACGGTAAGAACTGTACATTGTACACGTTTGTACGCACCCTTCGAAGCGTGTGGTTGAAGGGCATGTGGAATATCGCATCACTAAGCCGTTGTAAGGAACTTGTAGCGAACACGCAACGCAGGCAGGTGCTTCTCGGATTTGGTTCAGGGCGTCTTGACGAGCATGTCAAGCTGCAATCCATGAATGTCAAGCTGAATGCATGGTGCCTCTATCACAGCACCATTGAAAGCCCGAAACTCGCATCCACCGCCAGCCCGAGTCGGCAAAGATAACCCAACAACTTGCCAGCTAGCCTCATGCCATTGTGCCAGGTACAGACGTTGCCAACATCCAGGCGAAGTGTATCTTCAGAGCAGCAAGATGGAAATGCTGTGATCGCAAGCCTTGAGTGGTATCGCTTTCGAAGGTCAGTCGTGGTGGACGCGGGAAGGTCGGTGCAATCTGCAGGTCCACAAGATGTGGCTCTTGTGATGCTTTACGCGCAGCGACAACATGGATGACAGAATGCCGTATTCAGAGTTGAACACATTTGAACGCCATCTCAGTCTGGCGGGATCTCAGGCTTCTCTTCGCAGTGCCCAGTCTTCGGTTACGACAGCAGAAGATCGTCTGGTGCAAAGCGCCGGGGCGAGCTTGGGCACAAACTCCTTCAAGGGGCATGTGCCTGTCCCTCTTCCGGCAGCTTGGCACGTTTGCGTTCAGTTGGATTGAGAGCATTGTGGCTGGATCTGACCTCTGTTTCCTGAAGACATCGGCGTCTGTTTCCTAGTACTTGATAGTATCTTGATACTAGGTTGATGCTGCATCTGTCTAAATATCACTTGGTTTTCAGAGCATAGTTTGTCCCAGGTAGCTGCAGCGGAGTCGACACCGCATGTTCGAGCGAACGGAGAGCAGATGACTGCCGAAAGGTGGGCTAAGCTACAACAATTTTTTCCCGAGTGCCGCAGCATGCTCGTCAGTCCAAGGCCAGTCACCCTGCGCGAGGGAATCGTTGTCCGAATTGCCGAGAGAAGGCCATTGCAATCCGATGTTCCTGTTCGTCTGGAGTTCGGATGTCCCATTATGGGGAAGCTGCAGGTGGAGTGAGACAGGGACGGGAACGATGTACAGCCTAGTGATGCCATGCAGCGCCAGACAGCGCCCCCCCTTCAAGCCCCGCCGCGAAGGACCGAAGCCGAGACACGGCTGAGCAAATGATCTGTGAAACGCGCTCGAACGCGGCGCCGCGGACCCTTTGAAAACGTTGGTGGGAGATGCTTGCGAGGGACGGGGAGCTTTCTCGTGCACCTATGCGGGTGCATGCAGTGTGCGCATCAGAAGTTGTGTCAGTTTCGATGCTGAGTTTCGGGGCGCAGTTTCGGAACGCGGTCCGGGACAGTTTCGGATCCGGACATGGTCAGTTTGGTTTTACGCCATGGTCATTTTGAGGCCCATGGCCTGCAAGAATCGGACTGAAACATCGCCCCCCGAAACTGCAAGACCCGCATCCCGAAACTGATTCCCGCTGTGCCGAAACTGGGTTCCAAAGCTTTCCTTTTCTGATGCGAAACCCCCGGCACCAGATCCGAAACTAGAACCCCGAAACTATGGGCACCCGCATGCGCATGTGTGCGCTTGAGACGCGAGCCCACGGCTTCATTCATTCGCACGTCAGAAGTTCCGTGTCTTGTATGCATTCTTGCGAGTTGTTGGCAGCCCTTGCGTGTTCATGAGTAACATGCATACGTTGGCGGCGCTACTTTGGCCATGCTTCCGTGTAAATGTCGTCTGCACAGCCAGTTCGCGGAAAGTGCTAAAGGCCAATGGATTGAAGCTTCGGCAAAGCCAAGCATGTGTCGATTCGGCCGTTGGCTTCGCGCTTGTGTTTGGGCATGATGCTCATGGCATTGGTGTCCTTGGTGGGCTGCAGCGGTCTTCGTTGGATTCCAGCGCTGATCTGACAGTTAGGTCGGGGTTTCCCCCTTCATTTGCTCATCTGTGGCGAGCATGTTTGGTTTTTGTTCTATTCTGTGATATCGTCACTTTTTGTTTGCCGTCTCGTCCCCTTCCGGACCCGCGTTGCTCTGGCTTTCCTAGCTGCAGTTTTTGTTGTAATTGAAGGCTGGCGGGAAATAGCTGTTCTCATGGTTCGAGTGCATTATGGGGGTCGTTTTCAGACCGGAAATAAACCGTCACTGCCTAATGACGGGTCGGGGTTGAGGTAATATGAGATGAAACACCTCATCGCCGCACACCAAACCAGAGGTCGGGGGTTTTGAAGATACGGGGTCAAGCACAGTTTCGAAATGAGGGATCGAGTTGAAGATTGAGATCAACCACCATCGCATAATGAAGTCGGTTTCAAGATGTGGGATCGGCCGCCAGGGCCAATCGATCTTGTCGGGATCAACCACTCGGGCCTGTTGAGGGGTCGTGTCAAACATCAACTGGTAGAATGACAGGTCGGGTTTCAGATACGAGATCAGCCGGTGAGGGGGCGGGTTTTGCACATCTGAACCGCCACAAATTGATATTTGATCAACCGCATTCGCCTGATGAGGTGGGTAAAGTAATTTTGGTCAACCGCCATCGCCTGTTGGTTTGAGAAATGAGAGCAGCCGCCATAGCCCACTGCCACTGCTTAAGGAAGGAGCATTGTTAGGACTTATTGGCACAATGTCCGGAAGTTGCCAAGACATGCACGTGCACATGCGGTGACAAGTGTAGCAAAGTGAGAATTAGGTTCGACTTGAGTCGAACTGCGACCTGTGCAGAGGCCGGCCAAGGTCGACAGTATGAAGCTAGTCAGGTCGCATCACCACTGCCCAAAACCAGTCTCGCGGACGAACAGGTTCGCTTCAAGGGGCGCCCGTTCGGACCGCACCACCCTGCGGGTGATGGCAGAAGAATAAGTGTATTAGCAGGACTTGTTAGGAAGGGTTTCCGATTGAAGCATAGCGAGGGTAAAGATTTCCAAATGAAGTATACATAAGTATACCATGTACAGAAGATTCACCAGCAGAGCAGACTTATGGAGCATTGTCATGGTAACCTTAAGGGCAGGAGAGATGTTTCCCCGTGTAAATGCAAAGACAATACAGCAAAGGTTCTCCTACTAGAATAGACGGAGTACAGGTTTGCATTTTGAAGCGCAGAGGGTTTTCGGCAGCAATCCTACTAGAAGGCGCAGCAAGGAGAGGTTTCTCTCTAGGACTGCCAAGGCACTAGGCGGCAAGAACGGTGTGGGGATGCCGGCTTCAAAACACGGGACAGCACCGCGCACGCCCTAAACCCTAAACCCTTTGGTTGACCCCTGACAAGCTGTATCACTGCAATAAAGGAGAGCCCAAGAAGCTGGGTACGGGCCTGTCGGTAACAGCATTTGAAGAGTTGGATAAGGAGTGCACGGCGGACCTGAGATGTCTGATGTCGAACGGTTTACTGAAGGAATTCTGCAAGAGTGCACGACTGCGTCAAGACAATATGTTTGATTTCATAAACAGGCCCCTGCATGGGATTGTTGTAGAATGCGTTGGTAGCCTCAGGAGTTTCCTTTAACACCATGATATGATGCTTGTTCCCTGGATTGAGGGAATGGGAGAGCAAGAAGAAGATGAAGTGCGCATGCAGGCTAGCTATTATTTCCTGTACTTCGCTCTTCAAACGTCGTGCATTCATCGTAAAGGTAAAGCCAGAAAGGTTTCGGATGCAAACTACAAAGAAACAGAAGTCCTTTATCGAAACACAGATCCTCACAGCAAAAAATGCAGGCATAAGAGGTTTTCCGAAGGTTCCTGCGAAAACGAAGAGAAACCGCTCCTCTTTGTTTCGTACAAGGCTCCGCGACAACCAAAACATGAGGGACCGCAACAAAAGAGACAAATAACAGAACTTACGCATCCTCATGCAAGGGTTGGGTGGTTGAGTGCTGGTGCATTTGCGACGGGGAGTGTGGGCATGCACTCAGGTTCGTCAAGCGGCACGTTGCATGGTGGTTTGTGCGCTGGTATGAGACGAACCCCTCTCCGGTCCGCACTTCGTACCGTAGCGTTGCGATGTTGAAGTTGAGGAATTGCAAAAAGCCAGGTGGCAGCACCAGCAACTGTAAACATGGTTTTTGCATAAAGCCCATCCGAAATCCTAAGCTTCAGTTTGCATCGTCGACAAGTGGATTTTGCGCCAAAAAGAAGTGGTAGGGCGATACGAAAGTGCGTGCATACCGAGTAACATTGATGTGCTTTAACAGGGTTCAGAGCTGACTTCGCGGCTGTTGCTTCTGATCATGATGTCCGTGATGACGTTCTGCTGGCCGCGGTGTGGTGGATGGCGCTCATGACGATGGTGATGACGTTGAAAGCGATGTTGCAGATGATGAAGCTGCTGATGATGACCATGAACAGCAGCATTTTGGTGGCAGCGAGTTCTCTAGTGAAGGAAAAGACCGTGCTACTTATGAATAAATAAATGTTCTGGCAGGTTCCGAATATCTGAACCACTTGGCACTGGAAGCTATGGAGTTGCAGTATGCCCAGCTGTCGGGACTGGAGCAGACACAAGCTGAAGCGCTGTGTTTGTTGAAGGCACACCACCGCATCTGCTGAAAAGAGCATCAGGTGTGGTGTGCTCGAAATGAGGATGCCCAGGAGTCCAAGGCGCCCGACCGACATCACAACCCTTTGCTGGTCCGTCTCTCCTCCAGCGACAAAAGTGCACCACGTAGGCACTGCATTCAATAAGAGCGACGGGCATCGCTTCGCAGGAGGAGTTCGCCATCAAGGAGATCTTCTGTCGTTCCCAGGCCTGGGCAGTGCCTATGTTGGTGGTATTTTTTTCTTGCCGTGGTCAGGTTGAGCTGAAGAATGCCTTGTTCGAAGGCAACATACTTGCAAGGTGGGCCGATGGCCATGCTGCGACAAGTCCAACGCAACCTGTCCGCATTCCTTCTCAAGGCTCGGCGGAAGTTTTCCAACAGCCGCAGGCCAGGAGCTGTACTGTTCGCCGCGTGTATGTAGTATGGAATAAGTTAGTGGTCGAAAGACGTGTGAACACCATAGCCAGAAGGACTGGGAGCACTGAGTCCACTCAAAATCAGAGCATCCTAACTGCCAGTCGTTTGGTGAAAATATCGAAGATTTTTTTCAATCTGCATGGGCCGCATGGGTGATGAATGATTGGGCAGCGCAGCTCCCGACTTTTTCAGGACCTCCGATCTTGAGGCAAGCTGCCCCACAACATTTGAATCTTCCAGAGGAATCACAATTGCACTTTCACGAACTCTCCGGCTTGTCCATGCTTTTACCCTAGGCACCATAACTCCCTGACTCGATGTCAACAGCATCATGCACGTACCAATGACATCAAAAGACTGGACACTAGAACTCATGGAAATTTCCGGAACTTCAGCAGCCAATGAAACAATCAAACGCCAAGTAGCTAGCCACTGGAGAGACGCCCCAAGCACAACCAACACGGACCGTCGGATGAGCTCTCACATGAAAGTATTAAAATGCCGCCCATTAAGTGATCATTGGAAAAGACTGCACAGATGCTCCTGTCTCATCAGATCAACCGTTGGGCAAGAAACCTGCTACAGAGCCCTTCATGGGCCTTTAAATGGGACCGTCACGGTGTGGGAGAACAATGCGGAATATGCGACGTAGTCGCGTGAGCGTGCAAAAACATTGGCATCACCATCTGCATCTTTGTCGTCATTATGGTCACCGTCATCATCATCATCATCAGCATCATCATCATCATCCTCGTCGTCGTCATCAGCCCCATCATTGTCATCGTCAGTCTCAGCATCATGCTTGGACATGCCTACAGCACCATAGCACTGGATGAATGAATCTTCGGGCCAATCAATTCTGTGCACGCTTGTTGCAACAAGCGTGTTTTGGGGCTGTTGCCTGGCGGAAGCACAACTCAGGCATGAAGCAGTTAATATCCGCGTGTGCACACCGAATTCCCTGCTTAGCATGGAGGGTCAATTCCCAAACACAGCGAGTTGATTAAACGTAGGCAGCTCAGCACAATTTCAGCTTCGTCATGCCTTGGGTCCAAGCCATCGGGTCGCCTTGCAGCACAGCTTCAGATTCAGTCGGAAACGACACCGAAATGATCTGGTCGTCTCGCAAACGTGTTTCGCACCAGGAGTACACTCAAACCAGCAAAACTGCGAACGGGCGAGAAGCAGAACATGTTCAGTGCAGAAGCTCAACCAACAAACGCGGAGAACAAGACTGCAGGAACCCTACTTTGGTTTGATCTTTGCTTTCACATGTCAAATAGCGACTGTTAGCTTAGATCTGTGTTGAATGCACGAGAAGCAAAAACTCGTGTTGGAAGCACGGCTTCGACCCAATGATGCTCTCCATGTCTTGTTTGTTGGCACTTGTTCTGCAGCCCAAGTCTGTTCATGTCTGATCATAACCCGGCCAAACCTCTGCAAAGAAGGCACGCTGTCCAGCGCGCCTTCACTGTCCTCACGCATCCCGAGCATGGTTCAGAGCTAAGTCGGAGCCGAGCAGCTGTTTTTGAGATGTATGCATTGGCTGCAAGCTCAGGCTGCAGAAGAAACTGAAAGCCTTGGATCCAAGGAGCTTCATGCTACGCTCCACCTTTGGAAGCTGCTTGTACCGGCTTGTGCCAGGGCTGGCGCGTGCGACTTGCGATGTCCAGACTCGCTGGAGAGCCACTGGCGTCGCAGTCTTGTTCGAATGCACAGCAGCACAGCGTGCTGAATAGCTTCCCACCTCGCGACGACTCTGGCTCATGAAAGGTTGGTTCTGCGATGCCACAAGCAAGCATCCTTAGAAGTCCTCCCGGCGAAAGATGCTTTGAGGCACGAGAAGCGTACAGCCTGCGGCTTTAAAAATAAAACCCCCAGTTGGTCATTTACATCGCGTAAACTCCTCCAAAGGCGTCTACGTCTGTGCGCCAGTGTTCACCAGGCTTCTTGCTGAGCCTTGTCGTATCGCTTCGGAGTTATTGGCACAGCTGGGGTCTGTGACCCAGCAATGCACAGCAGTAAGCCTTACGTATTTGCAGACGATGTTGCACGACGTTGCAACATTTTATGGGCACGAAGTCGGCTAACAATGTCGTTCGCCCAGGCCTGCTCTGCAGGAGCTGTCGCGGGTTGTTTACCATCGAGACGTCAATCCGCACGCTTCTCGAAATCCGCATACACCAAGATGGCGCCCCTAGCATGAAATGGCGAGCTGAGGCGGAATATCTTGGTGGACCATGTGAGCACTCCAGGTGAGGCTTGGGAGACTTTTAGGGTTTGGAGTGAAGTCAGTTTGGCTCAGGACAGACCAGCTTTGGATTGGTTGACTTTGGCATGGCTGTGGACACCCACAAATGGCTGGGAACGTCAAAGGGCTCAAGCGGATCTTTCGGCAGCTCGACAGAGGCAACCCTTCCTCTCATAGTTTACGGTGAAATCAAGCAAATCCTGCAAGATCCGGGAGGAGGATGGAGCTTGGAGGCATGTGGAAGTCGGCGGTGATTGTCGTCATGCCGGCTGAGTTTCGTGGCCGTCTTGCTGCCAGACTGCTGCAGGCTTCCGAGAGCCCAGATTCTGCTACAGCAGGGATCTAAGGGTGATCACGGAGAGGATCCCCCCCCTCCACCTTATTTACCTTCTGGGTCCCACCTAAATTTCTTGTTCCCCCCCCAAAGGGGTCAGCACAACAGACAGCAGAGCCGCTATCATACATTGCTTCGAACTGGTTCACGTTCACCGCAGGCTTCTTTTTCGACTCGTCGAGGAGGGTGAAGGGGTCCTTTTTTTGTTTTTCTTTTGTGTGTTTTCTTTGTTGGAAGGGGGTGGGGTTGAGGAACGCAAGAAAAGAAAGACGAAAAGGATCAGAGAAGGAAAGAAAGCAATAACGACAGAAAATAATGAACGAACCAGAGAAACCAGAAACATGAATACATAAAAGAGGAGAGAGGCACAGACATAACCAAAGAACATACATAGCTAAATACATAGAGAGGCAACGAGCAAACTAACGAAAGAACAGCAACGAAAGCGCTAAATACATACAGACAGCAATGACATTGAACAAAGCAGTAAGCAATGACTAACGAAAGAAACAGACATGACTAAAGGCATCATCACAGAAGTGATTAATTAACGCAAGGCACAACGAAAGAGATAAATTCACAAAGAAAGAAACAGAGTGCAAACAAGAGAAAGCACAGTCTCACACCGAGAGCAGGACGAGGACACTTGGCGCTTCGCTTGGGCGCAGGGGTTGGGGACCTGCTTCCCCCACCCTAAACGCCGAGCAAGCAAGCAAGCAAGCAAGAGAAAGCACGCGATGGCTGCAGAATCGGGAAAGCGCCAACATCCCGGAGCGAACAGATCCGAAACAAGCCCCGAAGTGACACATACTCGAGGGGCGCGATGTTTCAGTGGCCTTTCGCCACGCTTGACGACAAGCGGGCCCACTGATTCTTACAGAAAACGGGTCCCTTCGGAAATTGCACTTTGCTCCCAGATGCCTCAAGCAGGTGGCGTAGAGCCCAGTAAAACAACGCGGCCCAAAGGCGAAGAAGGGAAAGGTTTGGTTAGGCAATCGCATTAAGCGACAGTCGCAGTGGTTGGTGTGGTGCCAATACCCCGCGAGCAATCGTCGCATCTGTGCAGAAGCGGTGCCAGAACAGTTCCAAAAGCGCGAGCGCTGCAGGAAAAGATAGGTCAAGCAAACATTTGCATCTTTGAGTCATCGGGTTCCGGGTTCCGTGCCTGCACTTGCCCTTGGGGGCCTTGCAGTCCATCCTACCAGCGACCAAGGCAACCCGTGGCAACACACTTTGTCTTGACGTGTGCTCAAGGCGAGGGGGAAAGGGTAATTCATGTACATCGCCTCCGGCTAGGTCACTTACATCGTATCCTACACTAGGCGTGTTCGAAAAGATAATGGATTAGGAAGAGCATGCCCAGGTCGGCGCAGACAGCTACACAACTAAATCGCCTTCATCATAGCTACCGCTAGGTAGTACCTCCTGCATGTACGGCCTGCCGAAGGCGTCAATTGGCATACAGACAATAAAGAAAACAAAGCAGAAAGAACGAGACACTGATAGGCAGAAATGATACATAAATAAAGACAGAGACAGCAAGGAAAAGAGACAGAGGGAGAGATCGTGAGGGGTAGTGTTCTGTCGTTGTTGATTCAGGTGAGTAGCGAGGCAGCAGCGGGGCACAATCACCCTACCCTTGAAGGCTACAACAACTGTGAAAACCTTTGGTGATAACCAGCAGGCACCTAACCTTGTTGTGCTGCGTCGAGACAAGCCTGAGGGGTAGTAGCTAGTCACGGAGGGCGAAATGGCACAAGCAAACTCACCTGTTGTGACCAATGTGTGCAGGCAGTGACCAGTGGGTGTATGTTGTCAAGTCGTAGTGCCATCGCCCGTAGTCTAGCCTTTCGCACTTAATGCAGTGCGTCCAGCCAACAACGGGCTGCCCCCAGCGGGGGGTTCGCCCCTCAAGCCTGGCGAAAGGAGAGAGAGTAGGGGGTAAAGCCCCTGTACCATAACCCTGGCGAAAGAAAGAGAGAGAGACAGTAACCGTAACCATTTTGGGTCAAGTGCTGCACCCTTTGTTTTTGGGCTTGTGCTGCCCTCTTGCATCGGGGGGGGGGGGAGCCGGGGGGTTAACTTGGACTGTTACTCCAGGGAGCCTGCCCGGTTTCCTCAGCGCTGCTTGTGTCTCACGTCCGCAGCCGTGTGCTGAAGCCGCGCCACCCGACCCCTGACTTCCTTGGACCTCCAAGGAAGGATGGCGAACAGCGACAAAGAGTGTCGCTTATGCAGACATGCAGGGGGAATACGCGCTGCCGGCGATAGGAAAACCCACGTCCGGGCAGACAGCCTGCAGACTGCATGGGATAAAGGAGAACATGGGGGATCAAACCACAGCAGCGGGGGGGCAGCCTCGTCGGACAACACGCTGAAGCGGGGAGCTGTAACGCCACCGAAGCCGAGCTGGCCCACGGTTCTACACGAAGACGGGGCTAGGGCTACTCTTTCACCCAGGGCCGCCAGACAACTGGATTGGTCGAAAGGTGACCTGGGAGCAAGAAACCGGGAAGTGGCGGGACTAGGAGGGGGAGTCCCTGACCCAGGACGTGGCCGCGTCATACGAGGCTTACCCGAGGAGACTGACCACATGAGCTGGGAAGGCCGCTGATAAGCTGGTTCGCCTTGCAGATCGATATCTGCCACAAATAGCGGACGAAACCAGGGTCTTCATCATGCGCTGCCTCCTCCAACAAGTTCGGAAAGTACGAAAGAAGGCCAAAGCCCGACGCAAGCGGGGGGGGACAAATGCCAATCGTGCCCGTGGTCAACCAACCAAGTCTACGAAGAAGCCGGGGGAGGAGCAGGACCATGCGTGGGGAAAAGCTGGAAGGAGAGCCGCAGGACAGGTGGGAAGACGCCAAACACCGAGACCTACCAGAGCTCCCTGACCCTGAATAGTGGACTGGGGGGACTCCAGCAGCGAGGCAGACTCGGCCCGCCACGCCAGTGTCGAACCAGAGGAAAAGGAGCCTTCTCGCCCACCGAGCCGTAACCTGGGGGATGAGACCGAGAACACCAAGCCGCAGCATGCAGGGACCCGCACAAAGGCCAAGGACACCCAGCAGAAGCCCCCAACGAGCCGTTGAACTGCGACCGGAACCTATGTGGAGAGATGTGCGCCGATTCCAAGACCACATGAGCGCCAGTGGCGCGAGACTAAGCCACACGTGAGAGGCGTAGTTGCAGTTTTTGCGGGGGGAGTCAGCCAAAAAGGGAGGTGAGTGTTTTGACATAGACCTACTCGGTTTTCCTTGATGGTTTACCTTGGCGTTGTACCCAACATCTGGCTCCTTAGCATGCATGACTTCAGGCAGCCAACTTGCAGCTTGTTTAATCGGACGGGCCGCGGAGCCATAACACACTACCATGCAATCGCGTTGAGCCCACCAAATCGTGTAAGAAGTTCTGAGTAGATACACCCGATGCGGGGGATCCCTACAGGGGGGAACCCAAAATTACCGACCGCTACTTTCCTGTACAGAACCTACCTAGCTGGCAACCCGCCGTTTTCGTTACCTGCTTGTTTGCAAGGGGAGAAACATTAATTACGACCCTGCCCTCCTGGGTCCTAGGCAGTGATGCTTGTCTCAATACCCGAGCATTGACAGCCAGGTTACTGGCCACTGTCATCGTGGATCATGTTCATGCGTGGTCCACAGGACTGATGGCTGATGGTCCGTCTTGCTCGTCGCTAACTGTCGCCACACTCACCCACCATCCTTGATCCAAAATCTCACCCTGCCAGGACCTGCATCCAGGCCCCACTTGCGAGTGCAGAGAGAGTCAGTGTGCGCAAGAGTGGTGCTCAGGGTCACCTTTACGAGCCGAATACCAGCCAGTTCCTCAGCGAGTACACATACACAAAATGACTATCGTCAATGTCCGTGCTGACCTCTCTTTCTCACCATGCTTCAGTTGCAGGCTGGAGTCGATTTGCCCTCGCAACACGCACGCTCTCACGTCACACAATGCACCCGAACTGCATCCGAACAGTGACTGTAAGTACGAGTATGGGTACGGTAAACCCGTAGCATCTCGGGAGGCCTCTCGTAGCTACACGTAGCTCAACCAAACACGAAAGTAAAGGTAGCTCTGTGGCGCGCGCGCGTGTGTGTGTGTGTGTGTTCCCACTGCTGCACCGATGCATCTGGTACCTGCGAGACTTGTGAGATTTTGAGGAAGCGGAGTTAAACTAAGAAGGAAGCATGAAGTTCAGAAATACAGCGCAGACGGTCGAGCTGTGTTGGATGGGTCGGCAGCGCGACTGGCCGAAAACAGCCAAATACGTGTGCTTAGCGAGGAGCTGGCGCTAGCAGCATGGGGCAGCGCGTTAGGATGCATTAGGCATTAGTCAATCATGTGTACCCTGTGCGCGCTGCTCAGTCGCACTTGCTGTGCGATTTCGCGATGCCAGGGCGTACTTTTCCGACATTTTGCAAATCCTTGCAGTGCATGCATGTACATGCCCAGCTAGACTGGTATGATGCTGTTTTCCTGTTTGCCTATTTCTTCGTTTCAATTCACCCTTCCATAGCTGGGATGACCAGGGGCCACGCATGCGCAGTCCCAGCTACTTTCGCACTGTACGAGCCTTGAAGGGATCTGCAGGAAACTGAGAAGGGACATGAATTGAATGAGCATGCCACGTGTTCTCCACAGTTCATCTGCGACGGGCAACTGTTGCCGGCATGGTTGCAGCAGTGGGCCTCGGCCACCCAAAGCCTCAGGACTGGACTTGATCTGCATGCGTTGGGTGTCACTGCCTTGCAGGCGGATCGCTTTCCATCGCTGTAAGCGCATTCAAATGCCCTTTCTGTGATTGATGTAGGCACATCGTCAGGGTTTCTTTTGGTCCATCAGCATGGCGCTGGAGTTGAAATGTCAGACTATCCCATGGCCGACTTGTCGGATTTGTGCACCTCTTTGCGTGTTGTTTGGGTGTTGTGAGGGGGCGACTATGCATGTTGCTGTCCGAGATACGAATGTGATCGTACACCTTGCTTTGTACTGATACGGGACGGACTGGACTAGCTCGTGTATTGAGACTGAGCGTTTTTTTTCGGGTTGTGTGGTGACCGTGGCATCGTGGCGTCGCAGGTGTTCATGGAGATGTCACCACTTCTTCCTGCTGAATTGACGGGTTCAGCAGAGCACCGTCATCTTCTCCAGACTTTCCGAAGTCTGCAGAATGCATGGTATCGCTACTGGGAGGATGTTTCTACTTTCTGGGCATCATTGATGAAATGCTTTTCCAGTGGAGGCAACTGGATGGTTTTGAAGTCTTCCTGCATCGAGGCCGGCTTGGACAACGTTCTGAGTGGTCGACTTTCCGACCTACGGGGCACGCTGGAAGAGATGGGAAGTGCATCAATGCACCTTGCAGACAGCCAGGTCTGTGAACAGATGGTACTGCTTGTTCGAACGCTGCTAACCCTCCTCAGCAATGCGGATGATGAGCAGCGCAAAGCGCAACAACGGCCGTCAGAAGTGCCAAAGCAGCAAGCGCGGATTTTGCAGCCCCAGCATGTCCAGAACAGGCAGCATCTGCCTCATGAGCAGAAGCCAGGCTGCAAGATAGGGCCACCACAGCAGCGAGTTATTGTTGGCTCGAGTCTTAAGCAACAAGCCCCACAGCAAGGCTGGCTTCAAAATCGGCCACAGGCCGGTAGCCACCACGAGTCAACGAATCAGCAGGAACCTTACAGGAGTGCCCTACCGAGCGATAGGATCACCACGGTTCGGGGGCTCCAGGAAAATACGAGAACGCCACGATCTTCGTTGCCTCACGCCCTGGCTACCACCGGCTCATCCTTGACTGTTCGAAGCCCGGAGTCTGCAGATATTTCTACCACACTCGTGGGGACATTGGCATCGGCCCCGCGACAGCGATCCTTATCTCCGCTCTTCAGACGGCCTAGATCGGGCAACCAGTCCCCGTCTCAGTACGTCGGGCCAGTTTGGACAAAAACGTCAACGCCGGAAGGTGTACGTCTCGCTTCTGGCTATAACAATTATTCCACAGTAGCGTCCCCGGCTTTAGCAGCAGAACACTGGAGTGGTGCACGTGCGAAAATCGCGAGTCATGGACATTCTTGGGCTGTGCAGAGCAGGCCAATTCCGTGTGCAGCAAATTCAGGGGAAAGCCCTTTCAGAAGTGCTTGAAATTTAGCATTTCGCTGCTTTCCGTCCAGAACCTTACATCATCCGCAGTGTCCGGCAACGGTTGTAGGCTTTTGTGAGTGCCAAGCGCCGGGTAAAAGGTCCCGACCTCTGCACTAGATGGAACACAGATGTTAGAGTCATAGTCTTGGTTCTTTCGATGCAATGCAACGGGGGCTTGTCTTCGGCTCAAAATGCCATGGAGACTTTTTCAAGCTACATCACAAAATCTCAACACTTTGCCCCATGTGCAGCATGCAATGATTCGTTCCAATATCAGCCTCTGAGAGCCTAGACAACACAAGACAACACAAGTTGCGGCAGACACAAGCAGCTGAGCTGCAACTGGTAGCTGGCGAGCCATGATTGCTGTAGGGGGATTTGCAAGATGATTCCTGCTGCCTCTGCAGCAAGCATGAAGGTTCCATTGCAACCTCAACTTTCAGAGAGAATGGATCCACGCCCGACGTGTTAGGTGCATGGAACATCGCAGATTTCCGGCGGGATGCCAAGACAGAGGCACCCCAGAGCCTGTCAATGCAAGTTTGCACTCGTCCTTGGGCGGCCCTGTTCATGTCTTTTTTGCAGTCAGATAGCTGAAGGCATCTTGAGGCCACCGCTTCAGCTCATGTTGTTGGCACTCGATCATATTCGTGGTCTACAGCTCATCAGACATCATTGACATGTCTGTGGACAGTAGTTGATCTCGCGAAGTGCTGGACCATGTGCTTCAGCACGCGTGCGGCAGGGTGTGTCAGCATGGAAGTGGCTGGGCCGCACGAACAACAGACAAGCATGGCTCGATGAAGCTTTTGCTTTGCAGTGGCTCCACTCCCAGGCAGCAAGGTCATCTCTGTCGACACTGTGAATCCATCATCTCCGTTTCGCCGGCGCAGCGTGGTGGGCATGATTGGCTTTTCTGCGTTGGCAAAGCCAAGGGCTCAGATCCTTCAGGCCCGCGGGTGGAGGAGTGAGGAGATCATGTTGGCGAAGCACAGCGAAGTTCATTAGGTGGCCTTCCAGGGCACGCGGCAGCTGCCCCTTGCGGGAGGCCGTTCTCCCATGCGTAGATGCCGCAAGCCGTTCCACCAGACTGCAGGTCGAAATGCCGCTACACTGGGCAGCAGGAGGATTTTCCTTGTGGTTCACCTTGAGTTCCAGCATCTCGGAAGATTTGGAGGGCAGAGAGAGAGAGAGAGAGAGAAACCGGTGCGCGCACGCGCGCGAGAGCTGCCTGCAGCTCTCTGTCCGACTGCAAGCAAGAGAGAGAGAGAGAGAGAGAGAGAGAGAGAGAGAGAGAGAGAGGGGGTCCTCGGACCTTACCCCAGTTGCGAGCGAGCGAGCGAGAGTCATCCCGTGAAGGCGATGATGACACATGCCATGTTCCCCCAAACAGGTATGTCTCTAATCTTTCTGTTAATCGGGGGATTGGGGGAAAAGGCATATGCATGTGTTTGTGAGGGAACGTACGAACAAAGTCGATCGTTATCGTAATCTTTATGGCCTTAGCCGTGACAGTGTTCTACGTTCTTTTCTCACCCCGCAAACCTGAGAGAGAGAGAGAGAGAGGTAATTCGACTTCGTGTGCCAAGTTGGGGGGAAGGGAATAATTGGTTGGTTGTGTTTTTCAGGTGTGCTGTACTTCGGGTCCTGATGCACCAGTGCCTCTCCCCCCATTTCTGGAGCTCGCATGTTCATACTCCTTGTCGGGGGAGTTTGCTTCGCTCAACTCAGATACCTTTTCAATGGCGGCTTCGGCTGCCCTTCGCTCTGAACTTTTTCAAAACTCCTGAGACCCCTGCGGGGGACCTTTCGAGAAGATTTGTAATCAGATTTGTAGTCAAGCCCTCGGGCCTTCGCTCAACCAACGTTCGCCTCGCTCAAATGCATGCGTGGTCATCTTTTAGGGGCAGCTAAATTCGACCGACACAACTTTTGCTACTCCCTATAGACCTGTTTGCTGATCTGTGACATAGGGGGAAAGGGGGAAATCCTTCGTGCTTGCTGGGACCCCGAAACATTCTGATCTCGAGGTTTATGTCATCTTGCCAGGGTCAGGTCTTAACAGGGGATACGGGGGACCATTTCAAGCAGTGCATGTGTCAGTCGAGAATGTACGACCCCGGCAATCCGTTATCGTAGACTTGAATGGCTTTGGCTTACGCCGGGGGATACATTCGACTTTCACCCCCCACATACCCGAAAACACATCGGGTGGGCAAGCTGCCCGGGGGTCTTGACCGACCCCTATGCCCGAGAGAGAGAGCGAGAGAGAGAGAGAGAGAGGGGGGGGGAGGACTGCTCCCGCCTCACACCCCGAGCAAAGCAAACGAGTGCTCCCTCAAGCCTGGCGAAAGAAAGAGAACGAGTGCTTGTCTCAACCCCGAAAGGGGCCGTACAGACTTTGGATCGCGCAGACCGTGGAGGGGGTAGGCCTTCGGGCCAGGGTTCTTCCGGGAGCCCATACACCTGCGCAAGCAAGCAAGCAAAAGAGAGAGAGAGAGAGAGAAGGACGCACCGTACTCTTGCACCCTTGTGTTTTCTCCGAGACGGGGCAGTAGACACCTACGGTGAGCCGAGCAACAGAGCTCCATGCAAACCCAGTAGTTCTGTAGTGTGACAGCACGACGGGGCATTGTCGCTTCTGCTAGGCGGGGCCACAGAGCCCACAACCAAGAGTGGAGCCCGGAGAAGTACATACTTTGAAGGTCGGAACTGGTAGTACGTGGCAGTCAGCAGTAAACTCAAAGGCACACACTAGTAGACAGCCTCCTCAGAGTGCCACCCCGAGCACCGGGGCACATGGAACAACCCACGCCGTACAGATGGCAACGGGGCGACCGTAACTACAACTAACTGTACCTTGGAACTTTACGGGGTATGATAATACCAGGAGTCGCCGAGGAGTGCTAGAATCTCTGCGTGTAATACACATGCACTCCGTCAACAGACGGGCGGCTCCCGCGGGGGCTCGCCCTCAGGCCCGGAGAAAGAAAAGAGGGAGGGAGGGAGGGAGTGATGAGAGAGGAGAGTTGAAGTCGAAGTGGTTGGCTGTGATTCTCGTCCGAGCGTGCGAAGGTGAGAAAGGGCGGACGGGGAAGAAGAGGACCACGATGCCCAAGCCCACGGATTGGGATGTCTGGGCGTCTGGGCTTGAGAGCGCGTCCACAGGATCAAAGCCGTGGCAGACACGGGGTCGCCCTTTCTGCTTGTGGCGAAGTGTTTGCGAAAGGATTGCGAAAGTTACTGTGCCGAGGCAAGGCTCTCTCTGTGGGCTTTTGGGCTTGTGAATGTGCTATGTGTGCTCTCTTTTGAGGTGGGTTGCTTCGAGGGGCAGGGTGCCCCAAGTGGCGAAGCTGACAGCACGGAAGGTTATGCTTCTGGAATCGTGGAGGCCATGTTTGTGAGACTTGCAAGGGGAGGCACCCCCCGATGGCCTGCCCCAGTGGGAAGGTTGCCTGGCGGAAGAGCGATACGGTTACTTTCCCTGATGCGACAGACTCATCGGTGGAGCTGCGAGAAATGAGATTTGGTGTGCAGGCAGCGCTTTGAATGCGGCATGTGTGGATTGCTCGAAATGCTGCCTTGCAGGGTCGCATCATTGGCTTTGGAGGAACAGGCAAGGCAGTGTTCCTGGGTCTTATTCGAGATCACATGTCTGGGCCTTGCTGCCACAGCTTCGGCATGTCATACTTGATCTCCTGTCCCAGGTCAGACATAAAGACGTCCTTTCTGGAGCAGACGCCGTTTCAGGAGTGGCCTACAAGCCAAGTTTGGGCTCGACCTGTCCGTTTGCCCTATTCCCGACATGACGAGAGCCTCCAAAACGTACGAAGCTGCAAGGGTCCGGTGCAGCACCAGTAGAGGCAAGTTCTCCCTGGAGGGCAGAACAACTTGATCATACAAGATAAGGGAAGTAAAACCTCTTTCATCACCGTGAGCCTTAGCTCAGCTAGTCGCTCCTCTCCAGCATCGAAAGACTCTCGACGCCAACTTCGAAAATCCGACTGCTCAGGGTAGAAACTATTTCGCCGGAATGCTCAGTGATACCCCGAAAACTCGTCATTTTGCAGTGTGCAGTTTTGGCAGTACTCCCACAGCTCCTGCCACAGCCCCACCCGCCTCGGCCGGCGGCCCGCAGTCCCGCATAGAAGTCCGATGCAGTGTGGGGGAAGTCTTTGGGATTGGACAAGGAGCCCCACTGACACTAGTGCGCATTGATCTTGAAGTCTCCGGGTTCGGGATGTCCCGCGTAAGTCTGTCGCATCTCCAACGAGTTCCACCTGCAGTCCCTGCAGTCAAGTGTGCTCGAAGATCACGCAAGTCCCAACCTTTACCCTCAAAATATCGAACATACCTCATTGACACGGATAAACATGTTGAATTCCTATATCCTTGTGTAAACAGTTGAGAAATCACGGTCCCCTGCCTTTACATGTGAAGATGTAGTGTCGCTGCTTTTGGTGGTGTACTGCACACCAACAGTTTGCCTCGAGAAACAAAATTGCTTCATGTACTTGTGTCTTGCATGCCAGAAGCTAGCGCCCTCATTTCCTCCCGGTAGACGAGTTGAGCTTGCAATCAGAGTGCTACTGCTCCCGAGCTACCCTTTGACACGTCGTCTGCCATTCCTACATGTCTACTCTCTTGGATTTGCCAGACAACCAGGTTTAAGTCTCATTTGCCTTCGTTCCATGCCGCTTCATGCTCTGCTTCGGCTTCCTTCCACAAGGAGACCTTCACATCATCGCATGACTTCGGTGTATGCCAACATCCTAAACCTACCCGACTCCTCAGAAGATGTGTGTTGCGGTATTGGCATATACATCCTAAGATACACTTTCCTGTATGTGCGGCTCGCCGTTGAGACTCTTGCAGCACATGTTTTAGAGCGGCCTCGTCTCTCGAGTACCTCGTGGTTGATCTTCGAGAGCCTGGCAGAGAGACGCTGCGGTTGTCGGAAGCGTCTGCATTGACTGCGAGAGGCCGCTCACGTGCTGCTG